AGTTACATTATCACTAGGGGAAACAATCAGTAAGCAAATACTTCACTCAATGAAAAAGATAGTAAAAGTTTTGGTAGATGATGTGAAGGAAACAATGGTAGATATGATAGAAAGCAATAGAGACTAAAGTGGAGTTAGCTATTTTTCAAAAGGCTGTTTACAGACTTCTCAAAAAACAAATGTAATATGAAACCTGAAAAAAATGAGATGGTTATCAATGAGCCAGGTAGTATTGATCCAGGTCAGAGTGTGAACAGAGGCCAGGACTCTGAATTGGCCACATGCTTAAAGGAGGCCTTCAGGTGGGTATATGTGGAGCATAATCACTTTGTCTTAATTTAGGCTGCTATAACAAAATACCATATACTGGGTGGTTTAAACAACAAGTATTTATTTCTCACAGTTCTAGAGACTGGGAAGTTCAAGTTCAAGACACCAGCAGATCCAGTGACTGATGAGTACACTCATCCTGGTTTGCAGACAGCCGTTTTCTCATCGTATCTTCATGTAGCCAAGAGTGGAAAGAGAGCTCAGTTTCCTTCATGTCCCAGTAACCTCATTATGAGTGACTTTGCCACTATTACTTAATATGACTCTCATCACTTCCTGAAGGCACCAGCTCCTCATGGGATTAGGGTTTCAACATATAAACTTTGGTGGGACACAAACATTTAGTCCATAATATTCCAACCTGGCCCCCCAAATTTATGTCCATCACACATGGAAAATACGTTTATTTTATCCCAACAGCCCCAAAAGTCTTAACTCATTTGAGCATCAGTTCTACAGTTTAAAATCCCAAATCTCATTTTATATCATGTACATTAGATATGCATGAGACTCAAGGTATGATTTATCTTAAGGCAAAATCTCTCTCCACGTGTGGACCTGTGAAACCAACCAAGTTTCAAAATACAATGATGGGACAAGCGTAGGGTAGACATTTTCATTCCAAAAGGGAGAAATCAAAAAAGAAGAAAGCAATGACAGGTCCTAAGCAAGTCTAAAACTTGGTGAGAGCTTAAGACTCGAGAGTAATCCTCTTTGGCTCAGTGCTCTGCCTTTTAAGCCCACTGGGGCAGTGGTTTCATCTTCTAAACCTATGGGGATGGCAGTCCCACCCCCATGGCTCTGGGTGTCCACCACAAATGATCAGAGTGGAGGCCATCTGGCATGTAGAAAGGAGGTGGTTCTCTCCCTTTTGAAACTAAGGAGGCAGCCGTGATGACCTCTAATCTTCTTTGGGGTCATTCTTTCCTCGTTTTAAGGAATAGGACATGTTTGCAGCCAGATACCTCTATGGTTCTTTAAAATCCAAGGAGTACAACAGCCTTCCTTCATTCCTCCCTTGCCCTTTCTCTTCAGTTCAAGTTGGCAGTACTAAGTCCATGATTCACACCCATACTAATCTCCTTATCAAAGGACACTTGGCCATACCTTTTGTGTTCTATCCCAAACACAGTTTTTCATTTTTGCAATATGGATAGGCTGAGAATTTTTCAAAGCTTTAGGTTTTGCTTCCTTTTTTCTTAACAATTTTGTCAAGTCATTTTTTGCATCTTGCAATATACTATAAGCATTCAAGAGAAGCCCAGATGAACTGTTAACACTTTTTCTTAGAAATTTCTTCAGCCATATATCCTATTTTATTTATTCAAGTTTTAACTTTCATAAAATGCTCGAACACCAACACAGTTCAGCCGAATTCTTTTCTACTTTATAATAAGAATAAACTTTCCTCCAGTTTTCAATAACACGAACCTCGTTTCTATCTGAGACTTCA